CATCTTTCTATCATATTTTCAACTGTCATACGTTATTCGGGGAGGCGGGGGGCCTCCATCACTCTAACCAATACAATTTAAATAATGGAGAAAGTAGCAAGTATTGACACATTATCGGAATAGTATATTACATAACAAGTGTGGAAAGTGTAATATTTCGCACGAGTTGAAGTTTAGCACGAGTCGAGTAGCGGCGAGTGCGAAAACTAAACGAATGCGAGAAATACACTTTCCAACAAGTTGTGTACACTATTTTTCCTACGACCAGCTAAGAAATCATTCAAAAAAATGTCTTCTTCAAATAAGAAAGTCAATTTAACAATATCACACATGTATTGAAAATTATATAATACTTGCATTAAAAAGTACATCAGCGTATCTGTTGAAAGGTTAAAGAAGTTCTCCAAAATATTTTTTACAATTTTAGAAACCTATAAAAAACTTTATTGCCTCTTATTTTGTACATATAAATTTGTATTGACAATAATTATAATGATAACTTTGACGTACATGTCACAGGTCATAAGACGATATTTTTTTACTTTTCAATAAATATGTGTGTTTTATTACTTTTCAATACAAGTGTGACATACAATGTTGCTAACTATTTTGTTTGAGAGATCGTACAAGAGTAGAAAAATGGTACATTGGCCATATTTTCGACAAAAAATCGTACAATACATGTATAACATAATTATAATTTAAATAGAAAGAAAAAATAAAAAAAAACTTAGCATGATAGATTTATTCATCAGTTATTTATAACATTTTTTTAAACGAAAAAAAAAATAAAGAAAATACATGAAACTTTAAATTTATCACATTTAAACTAATCATTTACGTCATTGTCACTTCAAAGTGATTGAATTTTGCTTACATGCTTTTGTTGTACATATCCGGTATTGCTACAAAATTAACACAAGATCCTTTATCTTCATAAGCAACATTTTGAGATGCTAGCAAAATGCCATTAACAGTTCTAACCTTCAATTTATTTTTTTATGCAACCCAAATGCGGTATATTTATAAACATATTTTATTAAATTAAAAAAAAAGAACTTTTATCCGGTAAGCAGATGAGCGAAGGTCGACCTCACTTCGTATTTTAGACTATTGTCGCGTTTGAATATCCAGATCGGATGCATTTTTACATTTCGAGCGTTTGATTATCCACATTGGACACATCTACTACATCTACATCTGCGAAGCCAAGATTATTGATTTATCCTTTGTTTATGCTAGCGTGAATATAAAAGTGATTAGTCTGTTTAATTTTTGTTTAAATTTCAAAGGACCCCGTAATAATCTTATGGAAATTGGGTTTCTGTCAAATTGTCTGAATTTTTGATATGTTGTAGATTTTGTCATCCTGAACAAAAGTCTCCATGGGCACAAAGTGCCAAAATGAATATTTTGGCAGCTTCGAAGCTGCCAAAGCTCCCGTGACCCGTTGCAGAACTATTTAGGCTGCGTTAAGTCAATGGTCAAGTTGACTGGTATGGTCAGACCACAAATCAAAGTATGTGGGTCAGATAGATCGCTGAACAAATTAGTCGAAACTGTCAAGTTCTGTAAAATTTATAATCATCACTCTAAAACAGTACAAGACCAGTCACTAATCTGTTTTAAAAACTGAAGTTATTCTCAGATTGGTGTATTAAGTTTGTTTTTAGCACATACTTCGATTTTCTTTTACTATACGGAGAATGGTCGCACTGCGCAGCTTTCTGAGTGCCTTTTAAAAGGAGATAGAAAACTTCGCCATTTTGAACCCTTATTACGTGTTGCCTACATCTTGGCGCAATATTTTTAATAGGTGCGTTTTAATCATCCGTTTCTGCTTCGGAATTGTCGGTTTTCTTGTTTTAATCTGACAGGTTAAAACGACTAAACCGACAATTCCGGAAGCAGAAGCGGATGAATAAAACGCACGCGATATTTTGCTTGCTGCTGTCAGTGTCAGTGAATATTATTTTTGAAGTCACAGTTTATTGCTAAAGAATCAGTCACTCAGACCAGTTGAAAGTTCCAAAATAACATCCACTCCAGGGATACAAATTCAGGATACGCAGAAGACTGCTGTTTTATTATAGGCGGTTGTCATATATTGTATTATCCGAGTTGCACAGTGTATAAATTGAAACATTGAGATCAAAAGTGCCGACGCAGAGTGAGCGATCTGATTCTTTAGCTGTAAACTGTGTCACAGGGTTCAAAATGGCCGCGCCCTATGTTGGGCGTGTCGGACCTCTCTCTTGCCTCGTATAGTAATCAAAGTATGTGGTTTTTAGTAATATATTTCTTTATTCATATTTTTGATCAAAAAATAGTATACATATGGGTTATGGTTGAGGTTTGACGTTATGTCAAGTCTTTAAAACAGTCAACTCACCCATATCTGCTGATATTAAATAGTGAAAGATTCTTTTTTGTGTGTGCAAGTGCAACAACAGCTGACAATTGGCCAATGGCTATTCACTAGATAGATAAAATTTCTTGACCGTTATGACTAATCCTGACTGATCAATTGATTAGTCATGATTTGTCATGTTGGTCAGTTTTCTTTTTCGCTAGAAGTTTTCGACCGGTCTAACCATTCACTTAACATACCCTTATTTTCAATACTAGTTACAGATGTCAAAAGCATATTTTAATTATTCTAATATATAGGGGTATTGTTTTTGAGGTCACTGGATTCAACCCTCATGTCAGATTGGACAAATTGACCGTTGACAGCTGTCAATTCACTGTTAACGAGGAATATAAAAGAAAATATCCTCTTTTAACATTGAGAGTTTGGGTTTTTGAGGTCGCTGAATTCAATTCTCATGTCAGATTGGACAAATTAACCGTTGACAGCGGTCAATTCAATAGCAAATCATATTCAAAAATCTATATGTACACTTAAAAAGAAGATATATTTATTTCAATGAAATATTTTAATGTATTATAGAGAATAACATCAGAAACATCTTTTGTTTAAATAATTTTTTAAAAAAATTGAATTTTGCAATTTTTGTCAAATTAAGGACTATTTTAGGAAAATTATGTACAAAAATTATAGAGAATAATATTACAAGCAACTTTTATTTGAATAATTTTCTTCTTCAAGCGTAAATAATAAGTCATTTAATAAAATAGTAAAATAATCCCCTATAAAGTATCCCCCATATGTTCCAACTATGCCCAAAATATAATCAGCTCACCTCAAGACGAATTAAAGCTTAACTATAAAAATCCGGTGTTTTTTTCTGTATCCTTTCATGAGTTATCGAGTATATAGACACACAGACAGATATACGGAGAAAATCCACATTTTTAGTTTTTTTTGGGCCGTAAGCTCCAATAGTTTTGCGGTCATATTGAGTAGTCCCTCAACTGACTGTAAAAGGTGGCACGGGTCATGATTTTTACTTGCTATTTGCAGTTAGATTCAAGAAAGTTGAACAACATTTACTATGTCCCGGTGGTGGGAGCTACCGTGTAACTTATCAAAATAATGTTTCCTATCGATGGAGTTTTTCTTTCTTTGCTGGCAAAGAAATAATTTGATTCTAGACTTCTATAGCAATAAACAAACCACTTTGCAAGCATTTTCTATCATCCGGTTATGCTACTATAGATGTATGGAAATTATTGCACTTCAATTGTTATTATTCAAGATATACATATGAAACTCGATCTAACAAAGAGTAAAATACCACTTTATTGAAAAATGAAAATAACATGAAGAGCTTGTGAAACCATCATTCCTTACATGAATGATTTACCTGAATAATAGGAAAAGAAAAGCGAAAAAAATAGGAAACATATTAGAAATTAATCAAATTAAACTATTAACATTTAAATAATATCGTCGTCGTAAAGTCAAAACCTCGTATCATAATTACCAGGTTTTCAAGAAACACTAAAAACTTTTTTTCTGTAGGTAATTGTTAATTTTGTAAAACTAGCTTTTTTATGTAATAGAAAAAGGCAAGTCAAAAAGATGCCAAATGTTTATAGATTTACATTTTTAAAATTAATCCCTCTTAAAAAAAAATTCATTCAGTTACGCCAAAATATAAGTTACGAGGTTTTGACTCTACAACGATGATATTTTCTGTATTAGTACAAGGTAAGTCATTTCTTAGTTTTTTAAATTATTTTTAATACAATATAAAATATTTATAAAAATATTAATATTATACATAAAATAATTTGAATAAAAATTTTTAAATACGGATCTGACCAGCCGAAATAACGACAATATGTGTGAGCACGAGTAATTTTTTTTATAATTTTTTCTTTGTTAATAATTTTATTATTGAAATACTATATCTACAAATAAATTACAATTAAGTGTATTGGATTAAATAAAAGATCCAAGGATTTATAAAAACTAGTCTCAAAGCAAAAAGTAAAACATAATAAAAACAATTTGTTTTATTTTTCTAATCCTGGACTAAAAATATTCCATTCAGATAAGAATATTATAGATTTTTAAGTATACATATAGATGTTTAATTATGATGTACAATTGAACCACCACCCTGTATAGGGTATAATGTAACTTATATCCTTGAAAACATTTTTTACTAGATTTTCAATGATACATGACAGAAGTAAGTTTTTTTTTTGAGTAAAGAAATTGACTTGAAATAAAGCTACCGTAAATTTTTAAATTGTCACCATAATAGTGACACACAAAAATTTTTTTAAATAATGTTTGTCCTATTTAAATTTAAAACCAGATTATCTCATTAAAGTATCATGGTTGAATAAGAGGTAAACGAATGACTTAAAAATATTATACACGTAGTTTTCCCTATCCTGCTTTGGTTTATTGCATTTGGTTCTAATGTTTAAATTAGTTAATTATTTAAATTATTTTTTTTTATTAGTTTTCAAACTTTATTCATTTCTTTAGATCCTAAAGTTTTTATGTATGTTTTAAAGAACGTGGTGCTAAAAAATCTAAATATCTAAAAATTTTTAATAGTGTTTATTTAAAAACATACCTTAAACAAGACAACCTCGTAGAAACATCTTCAATGCAGCTCTCCATTTTTTCTAAAAAGGAATTCGGAAACCAATTCAAAATAAATGAACTACTATTTTTTATCGGCGGGACACGCGTTTAAAATTTCTCGCGGCAAACGAACTACTACTGTACTAATGAGGAAACTGTAGTGTAGAATAGAACAACGTAACCTGTACCGGTGTCCGGTATAAAGCAAGCCACTTTAAAACCATTGCCATTGACGTTAGTATTAACGTATGTTCGGGGGAGTTCCCCACTCCAATTCACCTTTCCTATCGTCCAATTTCATTGTGGAAAATTGTTTGTGCACGCTATTTCTTGGATTGTCTTCGTATAGGGATTTTCTTTTGATACAAAGATCGGGAAAAATGACCTGAAGTGAACTACTTTGTTTTATCGTATCGATCTCAACATTGTGTTGCTAAATATTTTATATACTTCAAACCTTTAATAATTCCATAATTTAATTGTTGTTGTAACGTTTTTTAATCGATTTTTCTTAAAGTGAATATACGTATATGAAAGGCTTAGTTTTTGAGCCCAATGAGTAAAAGCTGTTCAATTAAAAACGAGTTTTCCAAATAATATTTCACCTCTTTAATAGGGTTTTACACCCACAAAATTTCTTAAAATTTTACTGCCGTAAAGTCGGGTGACTTTGACCCGCATGGGTGACTTTAGCTCAAATCAGTGAATAGTTATTTTTGTTCCCAAAAAATTATACGTCCTATTTTTAAAATAAAACTCACGCTGTTTAAACGGGCGGAGGTAATTTGCCCACAAAATATTTAAAGCTGCTAATCCTATAGGTAATTTGCCCACAGCAAGTAAAAGGTCATCTTAATCCTGTTGGTATTTTGCCCAAATTTATTTTTAACTGAATAAATCATAATAGATATATCTTTCATTTATTATTTTTTATATATTATCGAAAAGTAAAAACACATTATTAATTAAACTAAAAATTATAATTTTTATTATTATAAAAAAGTAAGTATACATAAGTTATATTATATTTTTTATATATTTATATTTTATTTACATATTTTTCAACTGGAAGGGATAAATGTGATACAAATTTTATATACTCTAATCTGCTGATTTGCTGCAGATCAATACGCTGTATAAATTTTTCTAAACACTGAATTTTTTGTTTTACACTTTTGTCTTTGATTTTCTTAGGTATACTTAAGCTTTTCTGCCCATATACTTGGAGGAAATGTAGAATTTTCTTCAATATATGTTTCTAATAGGTAATCGGCATACCTATCGAGAACGGCATTTTCTGGTTTACTTGCCATTAAGTCAAACACAAAACAGTCTACAACTTCATCGGCGTTTAAATATGTCAACCCAAATGATGTTTTAAGCCATTTTCCGGTATCACTGTTAGTTGTACATTCAGTCATTAATCCCAGAGACTGAATTTTACGATACCACGCTTGATGTAGATGAAATCGGCAGCCATTGATTACAGTATTAGGCCACATATAAATTAACGCCTTATGAATTGCTATTTCAAAATCAACGAACACTTTAGATGGATTTAAAGCAATACTGTAAGTTTCCAAAATTTTATAATGCAATAACGAAAACAAATGTTTGTATATATCGGTAGATTTGTTTGGTAATAAACAATATACCAGGGGCACATAGTGTCCATTACACAGCCCATGAAAGGTAAATAATTGTAGGAAAAACTTTGTACAATACGAAAATGTTCCATCCATATACAAGACGTTCATTTTACACAAAGTACGAATATTTGTCTCACATGTAAATACAATAATATTATTTTCTCTGCTATTTATTAAAAGAAAATGTTCACCTTTACTGGTTTTAAATGTATTAGAATATAAGTCAACTGCATCATGCACTTCTTGTATATTTGTAGGTAATGGACCTGGTAGTATTTTGCGACGACTGTTGTATATAGTTTTTCTTATGTAGGACACATCAATTGTAGTTAGTGACTCTGGTAAATTAGTAGCAAGTACTTTACGGATAATTTTAGAAGGTTTTTCCGAAATATCATCAACTGCTTTTCGCTTACACGAATTAGAAATAATTTTCCTGTTTAATTTCGGTTCATTTGCTTCATGGCTATGAATTAGGTTGCCTCTGGATACTAAAAGTTCAGGACCAATTGTAAATACAGTGGCATACAAGCATTTGTTTTTCTTTGGGAGCATCTCCAAGAAACTTCTCCACTTTTCATTTCTCTATCTTTGGCAAACGTAAAATTCTCCAAAAGGAGTACATCTTTCCCGCGTGTGCTTTTAATCAATGTAGCTGACATTATAGAAATAATTATTGTTTATAAACACTCGAATTACAATCATCAACGTATAAAAACTGACTGAAATATAAACAGTAAACACCCAAAGTAAGTACCTATTAGAATTATTAATAATCAGGTAGGTACCTATTTGTGGGCGGATGTAATTTGCGGGTTTAGGTACCTGAATGCTACTGTGGGCAAAATACCAGTAAGATTAACGCACCCCTTTACTTACACAGGTAGAAAACAGAGATTTGTGGGCAAAAAGGACCCGCCGGTTTAAACTCTAAGGTATTAAAACTGCCCAAAACACTTTAAAGGCAATTGGACGCTTACGCTTTTTGTAGTATAACAAATTTAACTCATTGCAAAATAATCGAAATTGAAAGGTGATAAAATTTGTATGCAACCAACAATACTGTTGTTTGTATTATTTTTTGTTAATTATCTTTACCGTAAGCAATAAAACATATTACAGAGGCCCTTCCTATGGGGCCTCAGTATTGCATTCGTGCAGACGAAAAAATTTTCTTGCCCCCATTTTTTAGTCCAAAAGGTCAAAAATGCAAAAAAATGTTCGTCTGGTCGTCTCTGTGTATGTATGCTGACACGATAACTCTAGAACGAAAGTTCTGATTGCCTTGCGATTTTGATTTTCTTGAATAATTACTTCTAACTTAGAACCCTATTGATTTTCAGAATTTTCGGTTCATCCTAACTACTTTAATATCAATTTTCTTAAAATCCGCCTATGCATTTCTTAGGTGACAATTTTAGGAATTCCAATTAATTGTAATGTCAACATTCCTAACATTCTTTACATTCCATAAATTGCAAACATTCTCTAACGACCTGTCAAACAACAGCTGTTGATAGTAAAAGTGAAATTTCTAAGGCGGGTTGCGACCTTCATACTTGCCATTTTTGTTCGAAATTAGTCGCCAAGCCTGCCTATTTATGAAAAATATATAAGCAGTTTCTTAAAAATGACTTTTTTATAGTGTTGCTACTATTTCGCTTCTAGCCACAAAAACACCATCAAATTTATTGGCTCTCTGTTGCAACCCTATAGAATAATTAACCGCTACCCGGCCATTTTATTTGGCAAAAATCAGAATAATGCTTGGCTTGAGGCTTGGCTGTGCCTGTCAAGTATCCAGATGTCAACTATGATGTGTGTATGACTCTTAAATGTCAAATTATTTAAAAATGTATGCTTCTTTTGATATTTATTTAAAATAATTTGTAGTGTATCTCAGTTCAGGCTTTCCATAAATAAAGGTACAGCAAGACAGATAATATAATGCTCTTATACAAAGCAATTTTTATTATATAAAAGAAAGGTAGGATATAATGCTGGTTTTTTTTGTAGATAATTTTAATTATACGATTTTGAATTACATATTCAACCAGCGAATTGTAAATATTAATTAGTAAACTAGTCATAAATTTCCTCAATTCATAAAATTTAAAATCTTATCTTGGGATTTTATTGACGTAATGTGATCAACCCATTTCAAATTGTGATCAATTATGATACCGAGGTATTTTGTTGTGTTTTTCATTTAAATTATAAAGTTGTCATTTATTTGTATGTTGAAAGAAGGCCTTTGTAAATTACATTGCTCTCTTAACACAAAAATAGTTTTGTGGCTATAAGTTGCTATAACCTATCGTCACAAAACTATTAATAATTTAAACATAGTAAGTAGTATTAATATAACATCAAGTAAATGCGGGTAAAACGAGAGGTAATAACAATAAATTAAGGGAAATACTTAAAAAGGGCTGGTTTAAAAAGTAATATCATAATAGTATTGTTTGAGGTTACTTTTAAATACATTTATTGTTGTTTTTTTTTTTAATTTCTGTAGGCAGTCTATTAACTTTTTAAACCTTTAATAATTGTATTTTGGAAACTTTTAGTGATGGCTTGCCGTACATGAAAGTCAGATTGGCTTCTTGTATTATAATAGTGATATTACGAATTATATTGAATTTTTTCTAATAGATCTGATGCGTTGATACTGTCATTTTTATTTTATAAATAAATATCAGTCATATACTGAACATAAGTCTGACCCGAAAGCCAATTTATTTCTTTTAACATAGTTTCAATACTCATCCTTTTGTCCTTTATTAATAAATTATAAATAGGGGAAGTAAGGAGCCCAAATATTTTACATGAGCAGGCTTAAGAGGTAAAGGGGCCAATTATTATTGGATAAATTGCTCGAACAAGTTTTTAAACCTAATCAAAAGGCGATATAAAATGTTTTTAAAAATCAAGGCTTGTGAAAAGCATCAATTGATTTAACCTAAGTAATGCCAATGCTTCACAAACCAAAAAATTCAACGTCCTAATACTACAATTGGCTTTCGGTGTTTCGTTCCAAGTTAAATCATTTCTCGTTTTTGTTACGCTACGAGTTTACCCTTAGGGGCCTCAATCTCGATAAAGTGGGAACCACCATTTTAGCGTTTTTCGAATTTTGTTAATGATAAAATGTGTTTTACTATCAACTGTGATGGGTGGCTTTAAACCACCAAGTAATATTATAGAGAAAACAATGTAAAATGATGGGTCAGTCAAAGTCACCCTCTATCTGCGGGTGGCTTTGCACACTTCTTTTTTTATTTTTATTTGAAAAATTAAACCGTTTGAGATATTTTTGCTTAATAATTCTTAAAATATAACTGAAGACTAAATTATGGCGAAAATGCGAATTTGGATTTGCTTTTATTTAAGAATTTAAACTAGGTTTAAATTTTGACATTGAATCAAAGTCACCCGACTTTACGGTATGCTATTGGTGGAGTTAAAGTAAGCATTTCGTTTTTCGTTCAATGAAAGGTAAAATTGTAATATTCACCAGATGGCGTTC